CATCAACACCTTCTATTCCAACAAGGAGATCTTTCTGCGGGAGCTCATCTCCAACGCCTCCGATGTGAGTCCGGGCCCTGCTCGCCCCTGCGGGGCCGGCCGCCTTTCTCTGCTCGGGGGCTCGGGGGAGGCTGATGTCCCTCTGGGGGTGCCCAGGGAGAGGCCGGGGCCTGGGCGGCCCGCGAAGCTTTTGCTGGGGGAGGGAGGCGGCTGTTGAGTAGGGAGGCTGTGGCGAGCATCATCTTCTCCCCTAGGCTCTGGATAAGATCCGTTATGAGAGCTTGACAGATCCCTCCAAGCTCGACAGCGGCAAGGACCTCAAGATCGACATAGTCCCCAACCCCCGGGACCGCACGCTCACTCTGGTGGACACTGGCATTGGGATGACAAAAGCGGACCTCATCAACAACCTGGGCACTATTGCCAAATCTGGTACCAAAGCCTTTATGGAAGCCCTGCAGGTGGGTTGCCTTTGGCTGCATGGGTTCCCTAGGGCCTGGGCCATAGGCTTTCGCTGGGGTACAACCCTAGCCCTGCTGCCTTTTTTGCTGTGGGAGCTACTGGCCTACCCGAGTGTGCTTCCTCACCTGTCCAGCAGCAGGGAGGAGCTGAGGGTAGGGCTGCCTGTTGGTGCTTGTCCCTTTTTCTCTGTATGCTGACCCAGTTCTTTGCTGCTGTGAATCAGTCGCAGACACCTCTTCTCCTCACTGGTCCATTAGGCTTTCTCTGCTTTCACAGGCTGGTGCAGACATCTCCATGATCGGGCAGTTTGGTGTGGGTTTCTATTCTGCCTATCTAGTGGCTGAGAAGGTTGTTGTCATTACCAAGCACAATGATGACGAGCAGTATGCTTGGGAGTCGTCAGCTGGGGGCTCCTTCACTGTCCGGACTGACCATGGTAAGTGTTGTACAAAATCAAGCGTATATCTCTGCTAGAAGCATCCCTTTTCTTGGTGTTCCCTAGAGCTGGGCTGCTTTGTCAGTCACGCTTGTTAATGTGAGGTGTCAAGTAACAGGCTCGAGGAGCTGGTCCTACTTGCTCTCTGCCCTTTAACACTGTGCCTTGAAATGCTAATGTTTCTCTCCCTGCACTGTAGGTGAGCCCATTGGACGGGGCACCAAAGTGATCCTGTATTTGAAGGAGGACCAGACAGAGTACTTGGAGGAGCGGCGTGTCAAAGAGGTGGTGAAGAAGCACTCCCAGTTCATTGGCTACCCCATCACACTCTATGTATGTAAGGGAAGGACTGTGGGGACCTGCTGGAAAGCTGGAGGCAGGGGTGGGTGGTGGTGGTAGCAGGAGCCCTGAAAAGGGCAGACTACGGTCTCTTGTGTTCCCTTCCATAGCTCCTGGCTGCTGCATATTGAGCAGTGGTGCTTCTGTGGCCAGAGATGATTTGAGGCTGGGGGCTTATTGGAGGTGGGGGGTATCCAGCCACACTTTTGGCCTTTGATCTGTGCAGCTGGAGTTCAACTAAACCAGCCGTGGAGGGAGGAGGGTTTCCTGCCCCTTGTCTCATCTTCTCAGACACAGCTTTTGGTGGCATGAGCTGTAGAGGGACTCTGAGGGCTGATTTCAGGGGAAGCCCTAGTTCCAGGTGTTGCATTTGTTGAGCCTTGTGTCACATCAGGAGGACACCTGTTTCTTTCATCTGAAGCAAAAGGATTCCTGGTAACGGTTGCTTGGGACTAAACCTGAGCTCATGGCCCTGACTCTTCCTTGTCTCTTTCTCCACAGCTGGAGAAGGAACGTGAGAAAGAGATCAGTGATGATGAGGCAGAGGAGGAGAAAGACGAGAAGAAAGAGGAAGAGGAAGAGCCAGTATCCAAAGATGAGGAGAAACCCAAGATTGAGGATGTGGGTTCTGATGAGGAGGAGGAGGAGGGAGACAAAGGCAAGAAGAAAAAAACCAAGAAAATAAAGGAGAAATATATTGACCAGGAGGAGCTGAACAAGACCAAACCTATTTGGACACGCAACCCTGATGACATCACCCAGGAGGAGTATGGCGAGTTCTACAAAAGCCTCACCAATGACTGGGAGGACCACCTGGCTGTCAAGGTGGGTGCTGGGCCACCCCAGGAGAGACAGAAGGCCCCTTTCCAGCCCATACCCAGAGCCACCATGTGGTTGTGCCTCAGTTACAGGACTGAGGGCTCCCAGGCCACTTGCTGGTGCCTCAGCCTGCACTGCAACTCCTGTGCAGGTGGTGGGGTTGGCAGTGCCACCCTAGAAGCAGGATAGAAGGGTGTTGGGCCTCAGAGAAGCATGACTCCTCTGTTCAGGCCTGCTGGATGCCAGAGAGCCCTGGCACATAGGGGGCAGTGGGGCTGAGGAGGTGGAAATGCAGGCTGCTTGCATGCTAGGGACCCTGCTGTGCCCTCCTGCCAGCCCCAGTGATGAGGAATGGGAGTTCAGGCTGCCCACAGCGGGTCTTGGGGGAAAGGGTAGCACCACAGCAGCTGTTTTTTCTTCCTGACTCCGCAGCACTTTTCCGTGGAAGGGCAGCTGGAATTCAGAGCCCTGCTCTTCATCCCACGCCGTGCCCCTTTTGACCTCTTTGAGAACAAGAAGAAGAAGAATAACATTAAGCTGTATGTGAGGCGTGTCTTCATCATGGACAGCTGTGATGAGCTCATCCCTGAGTACCTAAGTAAGAGCCCCTTGCCTCAGCCTCCCAGTGTGGAGCTGGGACCCCTGTGATATCGCTCCCCATACAAAGCGGTTGGCTGGGGCACTAGCTGGTGTTGGGCGCACAGCAGTCAGTGTCTTAGCACTTCTCCTCCTGTGATGAAGCTCAGAGCTCCTAACCTGACTCCTGTTTTCATTTCCCCTACTCAGACTTTATCCGGGGTGTTGTGGACTCAGAGGACCTGCCTCTGAACATCTCTCGTGAGATGCTCCAGCAGAGCAAGATCCTGAAAGTGATCCGCAAAAACATTGTGAAGAAATGCTTGGAGCTCTTCTCTGAGCTGGCAGAGGACAAAGAGAACTACAAGAAATTTTACGAGGCCTTTTCCAAGAATCTGAAGGTGAGCTGGGCAACCCTACACCTGGAGGAGGGAGGGGCCCCTCAGGGTCCTCTGCCTGAGGAGCAGGCTTGTCTCTGTGCTGTGTCTTCTCTGTGTGGGTGTTAGGGTAGAGGGAGTCTCGCAAGTGCCCCAGAGAGCCTTTGTGAGCAGCTGACCCCTCTGGTTGTGCTAGGCCTAAGGCTCAAATGGTTAGGGGGTGAGCAGAGATGGCTGTGCCTCGGGGGTGGCCAAGTGCATGCAAGTCCCATCCCGGAGACTTCATGCATCTCTTCTGTCTCCAGCTGGGCATCCATGAGGACTCAACCAACCGAAAGCGCCTTT